AATTAGCAAACCGTTCCTCCTAAAGGATGCTGATGAAGAAACTTTTGAAGTGTTGCTGGATTTTGTATATTCGTATCAAATATTCAGTGCTAATTATATTCCAACAAATATTTTGCTGAATGTTCTCCATGCAGGTTTGCATTCGTGAATTTGTTTTTGATTCATGGAAGACTGCATTTGTTTTAATTTATTTCATGTGAAATGACCCGATGTCTTGATGATATTGCCGGTATTTTTCGTTCCGAAATACGCAATTATGTGATTTTGAAAATGCAGAAGAAGTGAAACAATTTTTTGTCACATTCGAATCCCACTTTTTCTTGATTATAAACTGAAAATAGACTCATCGAATCTCGATGGTCATCTCGAGCTGTTTATTTGATGGTTGCATATCTTCCAAGTTAACCGCTGTTTATACAAATTTGGAAATGCATTATAGTTATTGTAATTGAAGTGTGATAATTTGAAGCCGTTCAATACCGCACTGAAAAATTACGACTTTTGTGCATATGCAGAATAAGGAATGCAACACCTGATGAATGTTTATCGATATTGAAGCAGGCGATCCGTTTCAAAGAAAGTATTATTGTCGACCGATGTCTTGTGATAGCTGATAAAAATGCTGACTCGATAACTCGTTGCGAAAGTAATTTTGTATTTTATCGTCTGACTTTCTATGATACTTATCATGATCGTAGCTGAATTTACAACGATTTTTATACATGCATTGCGCTTGGATTTTATTGGGAAAATCAATTTGAGCATTTCCATTATGCGATTTTTCATTCAGCAACTGAAAAATGTATGCTTGAGCCAGCTAGTTCTTGGATTTGGTGTGAACCACACATGCCTGAGGTGAACAGTGTAGATGAGACAATAAAAATTAACAAAATTTCTATACCTATTCCATGCTGCATATGTCTTTCGAACATTTTCGAGCCCACGTACTGTTCATGAACTGAAGACTGATGAGGATTAACTTCAGGTCTCGTCGATGTTGATAAGAATGTTCTTCATTTATTAATTGGTCGTACGACGTTTCGCCCCTCAAGTGAACTACAACTTTTTATGGCTCTACTATCCTGGAGCATAGCTGTGAATTTGCTTTTTTCAATCTTTTTATCAACACAAAATCTTTTTTATTTAAGTTCTCAAATTGAATCTAAGATACAGACGTTGATGTGAAACAGTTTCATTGGCAATGTGTTGATGTTAATAATTTTGATGCTTTATTCGTAGATACATGCATTTTTACTCCAATTATTTCTTTGCTCAAGATTAACCTCCCACATTCGTGACTAATTATTGAGTCGTTCAAAAACAACTCAATTAAGATTGGTTGTCTTATATGAATGTGAAACATTGACTATCTATGGCCTTATAGAATTATTATGCAAACAACCAAAATATAACTGCTTTGATGAACGATAACGGGACAACATGCTGTTTTGATAAGCTTTTTTAAGAATTGTTCAACTAATTTCCACGCATAGGCACATCAATAACATTAGTTTCAGCGATGTCAATGCAAGGGCCTCATTCCGAATGCAAAAAATCAACGTAAATTACTCGATGGGTTATTAAATTTGGTCAACTTTAGAGCCTTCACCAGTGATGAACTCTCAGATATTTGTGAGTCGTCTTTTCAATTTCTGACGATAAAATTCTCTTCAGATTTCGAATCATTCGTGAAAAACTCAAATACTAGGTAACTGAATTAATGAAATAGTGCCTGAGATCAACAACTCATCTGCGTTGAAACTCAAATTCATCAGTCAACTGCGTATATGCTTTTATATGCTCTGCTAATGTTCAGTGTTGTTTCAGTGAATTCTGGCATAATAACAGAGCACGATATTGACATTGCATTAAAGAAATATGCGAAAAAGTCAACTGGTAGCAGATTACCCATGCTTCCTTCCATATTCTCCGCAAAAGATAACAATCTCACTACTGACGCTCGAAGCAGACCTCGAAGGAGTAAATCTTTATCGCGATTCTCAATTAATCTCCGTAACACAGCTCAAAGGATCTCATCAACTCTATTCGATGGTCATATGAGCAGAGCAAAACTATTGTCTGTAGCATCACCACCTCAGATGCCTGGAACTAAACCATCAGCATCAATATCATCATCGAATCAACCAATAGTTGGTACGTTACGACCAAAAACCTTTCGCAAATATACCACCTCTCGCAAATATACCATGAACAATTCCTCGCAAATCTCTTCCCACATCTTCGGAGTGAGTCAATTCAGTGAACATAATTCTGAACCATCAAACAGAACATATCAACAGACAACTCCATTAGGATACAATTTCACAGAAACATCGAAAAATAATGCAATTTTTGGTAATAAGGAAGTGCATCTTCCAAAAAAGCTTCTAACAGATACACAGTCATCAACAATCAGTAGTCAATCTCATCAACTATCTCTAACTAATTGCGAGAAGAAACTAGCCGGCAAAACTCAAGATAATTTCTCGTCGAATCGTTCTCCCGTGTCGCGCCAACAGATATTCACAACTAATAATGATGAAGGAGCATCAGCAACTAAAGATACCAACCGACTGAAGTCAACAAATACGGATCGAATGGAGAATAAAGTGAATTACGTTATGAATAGGAATCGTGGCAAAAAAATATCAGATGTAGATGCAAATGAGACTCATTCAAATAGAAATCTAGAAACAAGGAAACTGAATCGTGATAAAATGAATGACGTGAATAAAGAACAAGCAAGTTTGAAAGTACCAAAACGCAAAGATGACTCGAAATCAAACATCGATAGGCCGAAAGCTGGAACAATTGGTGAAAATATCGGAACAAACACAGTAACAGCACAAAACGAAGAAGATGATCATCGAACAATCCCACTTCCCGAGAGTTCTCAACCTCAACAAACCGTCAAGCGGGAATGGTGTATGTTTTTTAAGTTGATCCAAAATGGATCAGCTGATCGCAAATATTTCTTGTGAATTTTGTATCAGTTGTGTGCTCAATCGAGCAATTTAGAATTTACAACCAGTGCAGAAGAATTTTCGAAAATAAAAAATGCCGCCCACTCATTAGTTGAGGGTGAAACTCTTCTCTTCAGCATATGAAATTTTTGAGCTGATCATGCTTGTGCTGACCGATAATTGACCTGCTCGCTCACTGCACCTTACCACGAGCTCCAGTTAAGCGAAATTTTTGCTTTCATTCTGCTCTCGTGGTTGCAAACGCCTCACCGTTACTTCTAATTTGTACTTTTCCTTTTCGCCTAGTCCTCTGTTCAATGTTGCCCTTATTAACAGCGTACTTGACATTATTAATGAGGAGAATTTTTTTCCATCTTTTGAAAGTGAGTAATTTATCAGTTGAATCTGTAACTTTACAGTGACACAACAAACAGAAGCAATTCAACCAGCACATGCGTATGATAAACAGGTCGTATTACAACAGCCAAATAATCCAACACATATCGAACCGTCTTTTACTCCTTATGCGATCAAACAAAAAGGTTACCTTATCTACTGCGACCTTGAAATTTCATTGATCACTAGAGCATAACCTTCTATAACGTATAAAATTGAGTGTTTTTGCTCGGTCAATACGATAAGATCATCTACCTACCGCATTCTTAGGTCAGGAAATTATCTGATAATCGAAGAACCTAACAGAATGCACATGAGAATAACGGTAAAATTGGTTGTTCCTTGAGGAATGCAATATTCGGTTATTGTTTCAGTTCATGGAATATTTGAATTGAGACATATTTCAGGAGCAATTAGGAAAATAATCCTCATAATTCATTTTTTGGTTGTGCCGACTAAACTGGCGTATCTCGTTTTCGAAAAACAGTTCAGAGTAATTGAAACGCGTTGATACACTTCAATGAACATGCAGGCTCCTTATATTTGAACTAAGTTTAGGGAAGGACGCACAATCGAAGAAATCATCAAATTTAGAGGAGGAGAGTTCAAGTAATTTTAAATGTGGTTTGATACGAATGCGATGCTCACAACGAGAAGTACCGAATGTCAATTCGATAACAGACCGACAAACGGGGCTTTGTAACGTTTAATTGATTTTCAGTTTCCTCATATCTACCAGACTAGAAACAAAAAAAAAGAAACTTCAATTGTATAATGGCAAATAAAACATCACTGGTTTCCATTCCATTGAATATTTCTCCAATCTACCATAACTATGAGAACGAATCAGCTTAAACTGATTATAGTTAATGTATATGTGAAAATTTGGGAAGATTCTTGAATTAATTATATCCTGATTTAAGCTCGTAAAAAAGCGCTACTGAATGAATTGGAAAAATTACATGCATCGAGTACGTTTGACGATGACAACTCAAAACATTCAAAATGGATCGATAAACGCAGCGAAAAACCATCCACCAATTTAAGTAGGTCCTTGAAAAAATACTGGGCAATGATACTGGAGAATGAGATTTCTCACAGTGACGAAAATAGCATGCTGGAGATGGGCGATTTTTGCAAAATAGAATAAACATTTTCACTAATTATCAAATTTATTTCTTGTCTCCAAAGCGATCACCAAATGTGATTGGCTGATTACACGTGGAAGATAGAAGTGTGCAACTTATGGGCAACCTCACCTAGCGATGTCTCTATTCCACGTTTGTGAAAACTGTTCTATTCTGTTCCATTTATCTCCAAAAATGACTCTACTCTATTCTATCCTGTGCGTCTTTTGGAACAATTCAAGGAACAGTCAAATTCTGTTAAAAACTGTTCTATTCTATTCTTTTGGGCTCAAAAAAGCCTCTATTATATTCCAAACTGTTCCTTCCTCATTTGCGAACTGTTCTATTCGATTCCTTAGAATAGAGAAGGAGTAGAATAGTTTAACTGGAATAGAGACATCACTAATCTCACCTCATTTGGAGGCAGTTGGTGGAAGACAATTAAAAATTACTGGTTTGGAAGTTTTAGGAATCAAATGATGACGATTGGTTAGAAAATTGAGCTGTGTTTTAAGCATGTGATAAGTTGTTATCAGCGCTATCGCTTTCAGGAAGGCCTTCGTATTTAGCGGAAGCTGAACGATTGGCTGCATCGCGTGGTGCATTTACGCCGAATATCGCATCCATTCAACAGGCGTCGACTGAGTTGAACTTTTGGAACGATAGCAATGATCGAAAAGGTTTCTAGTTAATTATTCATGGTTAATTTGCGAGAATTAGGTTAGACTTTCGATATGCGTCATTTAGTAAAATTATCAATAACGTATTCGCTGACCATTAATTTCATCTTCAAAGCGTTGTTTTCATTCCAATAAAAACTAAAATTGCGAAATCTATTTCAGCTTGCCACGTCATTTCAAACGAAAATGCGCAAATATCAACAAACTACGATTCTTCTTCCAAAGGGTTAGCTTCAAAGTTTCAATGTATTAGATTTGAAACTGAAAACTCAATTGCTTGATTCTGCCTTTGTAAATTACGAATGTACAAGATGTCATCCATCTTCGTTGTTTTTAAAAATTGCTAGAGAGTGACAACAGATTGTTCGGTTCGATTCAGACGAGAAAGAGGTGTGTGTATTTCAAAATTTTACTACAAGAACTTATGGTTTTGTGAGGATGATTCGAGCAGAAATGAAATGCGACACGTGTTCGTGCAAAATTTTGATGCGATCACATTCGTTTAATTTGAAGGTTTACGCGAGATGTAAAAACACAATCGGTCCGTGATGTTAAAAAGGGTCTGTTGTGTTGGTGTCAATATCATCTACGGGAATATCCGGTGAAAAATAAATTTTATTAAAAATTCACGAACATTTTCAATCTTCTGTTGAGTTTTCATTGTAAAATTCACGAACAGTTCTGCGATTCGTTGAAAGAATTAAGACTCGAAAAATTATGCAAAATTGCATTATTTTGTTGCGTGGAATGCAAAAAAAAAATTCAGAGCCTTATGTATTTGAGGTGAAAGTGCACAACTTTTCATCATCTTGGGCTGATGGTATGGCTTTTTGTGCGTTGGCACATCACTTCGCTAGTGAACAAACACGGTTCGATTTCGCTCAGCTGAATGCTCAAAATAGGAAAGACAATTTGACAATTGCTTTCGATGTGGCTGAGTGAGTTGGAGCGATTACTTCGGATTTGTTAATTTAAACCTGAAACATGTTGCATAAATTTTGACTTTTTTTTCGTAATACAAGAGCATAATTTAAGTTTGCATTTTTTTAGACGCTTGGTGAGTAGCAATATCGGAAAAGAATCAAGCCGTGGTTTCAGAACCTTTTGAAAATCGTTTCTCATCGCAAATATAATAAATTTGCACCATTTTTCTACTTGTAAATATTTCAGAAAGAATGGAGTTGTTCCCCTTCTGGAGGTTGACGACATGCTAGAAATGGGTGATAGTCCAGATTGGAAGTGTGTATTCGTCTATGTAATGTCTTTTTATCGACAATTCAAAGACAGATCTTGATTTTTTGTGTTTTTGAATGAGCAAATCATTTTCATATTTTCCTTGTGGAAATGTTCGTCTTTGGCTCGATAAATGCAAATTCCTCATCTTTTGCCTGAACTTAATCTGAGAATCAATAAAGTTATGTTGTAATTAACTTTAATAAAAGGATGAAGAAAAAATCGTTTGGAAAGATTTCAGTTAGTAATATTGCACGCTGAAGTCGCGTCCTGCGCTCAACTCATGAGTACGACAATAAGTGCTCGATGCAATTAATCATGTTTCACTCGTTTTCTAACAAGGGAAGGTCACGAACTGAACCCAGGGTTTCGGGATGAGATATACATGAGATTGTAGAACTTCTTGAGCTGATCACAAATATGCAAAAAATTTTTGCGAAATACAAGGAATACGCGAGATATGGCGGGGAAAAGATTTTCAGTGTATTGAAATTATGTTCTGATTTCTGGTTTGTGAGCAGCGGCTTGGCCTGGTGAGTAGTGCGCTAGCAACCAGTCTGGGTGCCTGGTGGTTCTGTCCCGCGCGACGGCGGAACTTTTTTCTCATACATTTCTAACATATTCAAACGACCACGATATTTTGCTTCACCCCCCAACAGCTTTTTCAAGTTGTGGGTATATTCTTCTTTTATTTTTTGTTTTTTTAAATTTTGTAATTTTTTGTCTTTTTACATATCATCGTAATGTGCATGTCTGTCTACAAAAAAGTGATTGAAACATAGATAGAATTTAAAATAAGAACATTTTACAAAAGATAAATGATCACAGTTCTTGGACGACGTGCTGCGGGAAGCACACTTCAACAGGCGTTTGGAATTCTTCTGGATGTTCTTGAATGTACCCGAATGCGACTGTGATATCAACAACTGTGACGAGTCGTCATTTGTGGAATGTTCTTATGCAAATTTTATCTACACTTTGATCATTCTGTTGTGAATCGACATACTCATTATGATCAGATACAAACAATCAAAAGAGATCTCAAATTTTTAAAACGTGTAAAAATGCCCCCACAAAGAAAGACAGAAGTTGTGGGGGGTGAAGCAAAATATCATGGTTGTTTTCAATATGTTAGAAATATATGAGAAAAAAAGTTTCCTTATCGAGCGGAACAGAACCACCACTCATCCAGACTTGGTGCTAGCGAACTACCCAGTAGACCAAGCCGCCGCTGACTTTCCGAAAATCAGAACATCACTTGAGTACACCAAAAATCCCCCCCCCCCTCCCCGTATCTCGCGTCCCCTTCGTAAGTAATCGAAGAGGAATATCAAAAAGGGGGACATTTAGTGGCAAATAGCGCTTTCAATGCCATATTCAGAAACTTGAACGCAGAACGTGCGATATTTTTGGCTGATCTTTTGCACGGAATGATTTTTCAATCTGTTTCTGCAATCGCCGCTCAGATCGCATTTGTTATATCTATCAACTAACGTACTGGAGAGGTAAGCGCAGCCAGTGAGTTTGATGGTTTTGTTGGTTGAACGAATGCCACAAACTGAATGAATACTGGAATGAATCATTTGACTGCCGTCTGATGCAGAAAACTGAATCATTAAATGTGATGTGAGCACGACAATAAAATCTTCTTTTGGCTATTGTATTTGTCATTCAGAAATGGCGAGAGGGTGAACAATAGCATTTTATGGCTTTTTGCTGTTGTTTTATTCATATCAATGAAAGTTTTGACATTATTCTCATTCGTGATGACTGTGAAGAAGTCTTCTTTTCACACCAATGATTTCTTTAAAAGGCACGGTTAGATTGCTTTTGAAATCAGTTCAAGAGAACACATCTGAATGTCATCCATGTGTCTTTCAGTGAGAATTTTATTTGCTGCTCTCATAGCATATGGTTCAGCACAATGGATTCGATATATGCACTACTCTCCTGAAAGTCCACCTTCTTTCCTTATCGGAGCAACACCGGATCAAATAAAAATATTTGAAAGTATCATTTCTAGTAACCTTCCAGCTAAAGAGTACAATCAAAAAATGGATGCCTTAATAGCACAGTTGAGTCCCAGTGCTCAGGTTAGTAATGGTCTGATTTTATTGTCATTATTAACCAGAATTCATCACAGGTAACAGAAATTATTTTTAAAAGATAATGGACCTCTAAGCAACTTTTAGATTCCTCATATAATTTAATTTTATCCAAAAAGTCATTGCGTTGATGTTAGTTATTCACTTATCTGTTTGCTTAACGATTAATGCTCCCTTCGGCAAAACTATCATCAAAGTCATGTCTTGACGCTAATCCAGCTGACATATTCAGGAGGAATACAAAAGAATAGTTAATGGAGTTAAAGACAACTGGATGGCAACCACGCAGCAATTCCTCAAGAATGTTGAAAAGTACCCAGAGGAAACGCAACGAGCCGCGAAAATCCTGGCTGAGCTTCTCGTGCAAAATAGTAGTGGGAATTATGAAGGTGTAGATCAGAAAGTGAGTCATTTTTGATCCATTCACATCAATTCTGTCGAAACATTCTGATTAATTTTCATCTTTTATTTCAAATTAATGAGAATTCCGTGAAGAAATATCACTTACATATTCACTTTTCCGAGGGTCTGACTGCTGAGTTCTCTGTTTGATAATATTCGTTGCAGATAAACCAAATCTGGAATTCACTCTCACAAAAAGTAAAAAGTGAATTGGAGGACGCATATTTCATAACTGAAGGAGTGAAGAGCAAATCCCTACAAGATATGATGAAAGCGGCGGTTGAACATTCTTTAGTTGACTAAAATTTTTGTCACTTGCATCAATAAGATCAGTAAAATAATCAGAGATTGATGAATAATCATGAACATCGTGATTGGATATTTCAATCAGAAATTATCGCATCTTTAAAATGCTAACAGCTTTATTTCAAACAAGCTTGGATACTGATATTATTCACAATAAATGTTCATTCTATGCTCGTTTCAAATAATGTGAGTGCGGCTGATCTTGAAAGTAAATAGGTTGCTTATTTTAAGCTTTCGTGCTCTTCATAACGATTAAGAGTGTTGATTCTTCTCTTAAACATCAAATGAATTTTTCCACACGCCAACAATACCTATCTCATCTTTACGAATTATCACCTCTTTGTCATCCCAACATCTTTGGCCTCCTGCATCACACTTTCAAATTTAATATTGCCAGCAAAAAGCAGTTCGACTGTTGCTCTCTATGTTCGCATTTTATTACGAATTTAACATACAAATATCGAATGAATTTATTTGAACTTTGAATAAAATTTCCCGCAACATTACTACATGATATGCTATGCGATAACATGAAGTGATGTGGAACAACATTTCTTAATTAGAGATTCATATCTACATATTTACATGCAAAAAATGTTCTCGATTCCACTCGTTCGTAATGTACTATCCGTGTGCTGACCTGGAGCGAGTGATTAGTGAACGGTTACCAAATACTTTTGTCTTAACCGACTGCCTTCGACGATTGGTAGGAGTGAATTTTCGTGGAATTGTATTACTTGGTGGAATCCACGGAACCGACCAGCAGCTATGTGCATCATCTTCGAATCTTAGGATTCGTCCGTGAAGTGTTTCTGCCTCTGCACGTTCTTGTTCCTGAATTGTTCCGCTGTTTTCGTTGAAATTAAACAATTTCAGAATGCAATGAAGTGAAAATTTGAAAAATTCTAATTAATGTGAATAGAGGTCACTTCTGCAAAATGCAATATCAACTCTTTATCCGGCACAAATATCCAGATTGGATTTAATGATTTTGATTAATCGCTTTCTCATTTATTGAAAGCAGTTTATATGATCTAGCTGAAATAATGATCCAATTTGGAGTATACTTATAAAACAAGGTGCTAAATTATCCAGCTTTGTGGCCGTAGCCATTCACTATGAGTTTTTTTTTTTCAGGTAATGAAACGTTCCAAACAACAGTTGATCTCATGTCGATCATTATGCTTCTAGACTGTTATTCTCGTGTCGCCCAATCAATGATTAATTGTCAGTTGGGATATCGTGTATAAGGGAATCGTCAACTTGTTGTTCTTACTACCTCATGGCATCATTCTCATCAGTGTGCCCATCTACCTATCGTATTAGCTCCTCATCGTGAATCGACAGTTCGAAACCCGTACACGTTGATAATGCCGACACCTATCAGTATACTGAATCTCCCTCCATCTACTTGTAATCCGCTTGTATTGTGTTTTATACGTGTATCGAGTATTGTGTTTTAAATAACCATTACTCAACTCGACAGACGCAATACCAACCTTCGTTTCAAGCCACGAATCATAAGCTTCTTTTGCGAGTGCATCTTTGTATTCCTTCTCGTTTCTACTTTGTGTTTCTTGATTTCTTCTTAATTCCATGTTCTTACGTAGCCTTTCAATTTCTTTTGTTCGTTTCGCATCACACCTTCAAACATTTACATCACGCCTTCAAATGTTGCTGATCTGCTAAGAAAACTGAAATTACAGGGAGAGATTCCTCGCATAGCCATATTTTATTTAACTTTGAAATTTCTTGAGAGTTCAGTCTGTACAACGATATGCAACGGTGATAAAACTCCGAATGAAGTCTACAATTCTTGAATCGTTTTGAAATCGGGGAAACGGATTAAAACCTTCTAAGTTCTCCTTTAATTGTGAACAATTTTCATTTGCATCTATGACCTTTAATTTCTTTGCAATATGAATGGAGGCCATTCATGCAACAAATATGGCTCTCACCATGACTGAAAAACCTTCTGAGCCTCAATCCTTTTAAGAGTTGCTTCATCTTCAGCTTTTTTCTTCAACGCTTCTTCCTTCCGCTTCAAAACGCTTTTGTTGGTAGATAATTGCTGTAAACGTTCTCTCTTCCACGCTTCAAACATCTGCAGTATTCACTGATATTCTCGAAAATTTACATAGCTGTTTTTGAGATGAACAAAGTTTGGAAATCATTTTTGTTCTTGACATAGTTATTATACATAATGTTAACATTCTTAAAATACTTGCTGAATGTCTATTTCTGTGGAAGGAAGGATGTGATAAAGCCATAATCTAATTTTACGGCTGGAAAAGTTTAGAATGATGAAATTAAAGAATAAAAAATTCTCAATTCAAACATAACCTTTTGAGCTTCAACACGTCGTTTTTCTTTCTCTTCAGTTTGTTCTTTTCTCAACATTTCCTCTTTATTCTTTTCCAGTTTCTTTTTCTCGCTAACAATTGCATCAGCTCGCTCCTTCCAACTAAGAAAGGATTTCTCGGCTTCTTTCCTTCGCTCTTCTCGTAACTGAAACTTTCAATCCAATTATGACTTGTTGTATTCTCTTGATGCAGGTCAAATTAAAACTTTAAAGTTCATCGGTGTATCATACGTAACAGCTGATAATCGAAAATATCCTTTGGGAGAAGAACAGTAAAAATGCAAAAGAAATCAAATTATTAAAATTAATCTTGCAAGCACAACAGTTACGAACCCGCTTTTGCTCATCCTCTTTTTCCTTCATTTCCTTTCTTTTTTCTTTTTCGCGAATACGTTTTTCACGGAGCCATTTCTGTTTCATTAATCAAGAATGTGAGTGAATCAATCACATTCGATTGTCATATGTTCATTTTTTCAAATTTCATTGCTTTCGAAACTTCCATAAATATCAGCACGTAAGTGTTAAGCGAGATGTTTTCGGTTACTTTTCAAATTAAAATCTTTCAGTTGTTAATGAGAGCATTCGCTGGAATATTTTATGATGAAATATGATATATTACGAATTGATGCAGTAAACATAAATTGTCAACCTCATGAGATGATGATCTTTTTTCATTAGTTGATTTTTCTATTAAACTCGAACTGTTCGCCTCAGCATTCTGTTGTTCCCTTCAAAAAGAGTATTATCATCTTCACAACCATTCGTAATATCGTTCTTCGAGCAAACAATATGGAGTTTTGTTTATATTCAAATCAAAGCTCTAAATTGATCGTTTCATATTATGAGTGTTGATCAGCTTGGCGTTCATCATCTTCATGAACGGCGACAAATTTCAACAGGAATGATATTGCCATAATCAATTTTGTTATCATTATTATAGTTAAAACAGCAGTACATTTGCTTGACTATTAGAGCATGGTAAGTGTTATAATATATGCACAAAAAAGTCATATTTGCTTACGCGCTATTTGACTGTTTCAGTGCTTTTTTGTTGGCGGTGTTGTCAGATGATTTCGATTGTTTTTGAAACAGTGCTCGTTGTGAGTTATGTGAATTTGCTGACTTTTGTTTCGTTGGTATACATGGAGAAATTCCCTTGAAACGAAGACATTCATTCAAGAATGGATGATTGATGTGATCTGTATTAATTCATTACTCACACCTTGAAAAAGTCATAAACTCGAACATGTTAACTGAACGTTCTACAGACCTAAGGTTAATTATGCTGATATTTACGAACTGCAAAGTGCTCAAACGAGCATCAGATCAATTGCTGTAGCAGTCTTTTCTCACACTCACTTAACATAAGGTGTTGATTTTCAATTACAAGTTAAAATAACGCACTCACAGTGTATATTTCTTTGAATATCGATGACTCTATCACATCAAAAAAGTTAAAATCAGACGGAACCTGGAGCAATAAAGTGAAACGCTAAGAACTATTTGACAATCGGTTCGTGTCGATTTTCCTTTTGGCTATGTTATTTCGTAATTAATGAATGGTTGAAGACGAAAAAATTGCAATTGTAACATGAGAATACAACTCGAAAGTAGGCTTTTACCTTACTGTTATATGACGTGTTGTTTTCTTTGGCAGAATTTTTTCGACTAGTGCTATTCGAGGATGATTTTGAGGTTGTAGTCGAAAGGGGTCGATTCGAATTGACAGTATTCGATGAGCAACCATGAGATGAGTCGTTCATTGATTGATTGCTGATAAGATGCATGTTTCCAAGTTGCGTTTGTGATGGAGAGGTTGATATCTCGTCTGAATGCCTTTCAGCTGCGTTGATCTTAACCGATGTTCTGCGTATGTCATTTCTTAAAATCCATTACTCACGTTTCAAGCAAATCTTTTCAGAATAATTATCGACGATAATGAAATAACATCGATAATTGTTCCATTTTCACTCAGAAGTGCATTACAATATGATCAAGAATAGTTTATCATTAACATTCGAATTGGTCGACTTGTATTCATAATGTTGTGACGGATAGAACAAATGCTTGGATACCAATCAATTCGTAGTTTTGAGGTAACTGACATTATTTAAGAAATTCAGATGATTTTGATGCCCATTTTTGAGCATTTATATGTAAACATTGTTCTTCAATGGATTATATGAGTAGTAATGTTTCTATTCCATGCTGTTGGCAGACTGTTACATTCTGTTCTGTTCCGCAATTTGAATTGTTCCACTGTACCCTCCATTTTTATTCCTTGGAGGCTGTTTTGTTCTATTCTGTCGCTTTGAACTATTCTGTTGTGTCTTATTCTACACGTCCTTTTTTTTGCGACTGCTCTGTTTTACTCCTAGGAACAGAACAGAAATGGAAAAGTTTGACTGAAGAAGTATTATTATAAACGAGACATTTTTTGGGTCAGATCTACAATTTTTGTACGCAAATTTGCGCTTTTTTCGTCGTTTTTGCGATTGTGCAAGTACACTTGAACAAATTTGTTATCAGCGTAAATCAGATTTGATCGAATTTGTTATCAAATTTTCCGCCTATGTTTTTCGATGGAAGTGTTTGTGAATAAAATCATTTCAATAAGCTGATAGAGCATTTTTGAAGGAGTGAGTGAAAACGACTCACAAACGTTCGATGAACTCATTGTCAATCGATGAATCGTTGTCACTTGATTGTGTTTCGCTATCAGAAACTCTTTGCCATCGATCAGTTTGTTTCTCTCCATCCTAAATTCGTTGAAAGTGCCGAAGAATGCAAATAATAAACAAGGGACGCTAATCTAGCTGGGTAATATTTAGCTGGGAGTGGCAATTGAACATTACCGTCCTTCAATCCACCTCTATCGCTTGCAAGCAAATTGTGCAGGTGTAATGGTAAACAAAGAAAGTATCCATGTGTCAGATCTATTTGGCATTCAGATCTCTCTTGGGACGCAAAGAAGAGCATGGAATAATCTTGTCGTAAGTGATAACATAATATCCCCACTGGCAACAGTAATACGTCGATAACCATAAAAAATACCCTACGCAAATCACTATAACAGTGTTTTAATTCGGCACAACTTCGAAGTCCCAATAAAAAGGCCACCCAACAAGGACCTCATCCCCTTTCATAAGATACTTTTGGCTAAGTCATTACAAAAAGAGTTTCTTGAAAAGGATCACGAAGGCATTACATTTAGTTTTTGATTAGTACTATAACTACTACTTGTGAATTTCAATCAGATTGTTATTATATTGAAGATTATAACAGTGACGATTATTATTGGTGAAAAGCTGATGTTAAGAATGCGAATACCGTTGCAATAACACTTGAAGCGGTTGTCGCAGCATCAGATGGCTTTTCGATCGTTTGACGACCATGTCTTGTTGCTGGTCGTTCCAGCCGTTGTTGAGGTGTTGTTTTTAAATTCGCATCTGAAACATGAGTTGTTAAATGAATAATAAGCGCGTACATATAACCCACAAACAATCCGTCATATTTACTGTGAGTATTACAATAAGTGAAGTAACAAATGCTTAAGAGATGATATATAATAACGTTATTTGGAACAACACTTCCATTTCCGAACATCTTCTTCTCAAGAGGGCGATATCACCACGTTTAATGCAAGTCACGCTGAAATTTTACAGAGTCCCAAATTTATCCTTTTGTTTTTAAGTCTTTTATGATCTTCATCCATCTCCCACTTACCGATATTCTGTGTTATTCTACCCTTGTCATCAGTGCCAAGCAGTTTATCAAGCGTTTCTGCATAGTTCAGGTTACGCTGCCTTTGCTCTTTTCCGAACATATTACTGAAATATTTTCAAATACAGAATCAAGAATTTTTTCTTATCAAGTAATCAAACTTTCATAGAAAGCATCTTACTACTGGATATTATTGTTGAACAGATGTGTAAAACATTTTATAGCAGTACTGCAGCTATATTGTGTTTAGGATTCGACTTTTTGATCGCTTTCAGAAAATTAGTAAGGACAGCAGAGATACTCATGAACAACTGAAGTGGATTTCGATTTTGCTACAAAATTCTTTCCATAAGAAGCAAAATATACGAGGTGACTAATTGCATGTTGAACAAGTTACACGAATATTAAAGATGATTGGATGTTATAAAAAAATGATGGATGAACAATGTTCAATCGAACTGAGTTAGTTCCCTTTGTACGTGAAATCATTCGGACTAGCTTCAAATGTTTGCATTGACTGAGATGGAAAGGGGAAGCATTACGAACGAATTGAATTAATTATAAGCTTTTTCAGAAGTTAGATTGTAGATTTAGAATCATCCAGTATTCTAATGTACTGAATAATTATGAATAACAATTCAATCGCAGTACTAATAACCCATTGCAAGAAGGGTTATTTGATGAAAGAAATGCGGGTCATTCGGATTACATCAATCAGCCGTTCGTTCGCTGTCGATATGAAGTAAACGAGGCTGTTCGATCAACGTTATTCTATCACTTGACTAACCAACTCAAACAAAAAAATTGTTTTCATAAATATGGCACTTCAAGAGCAATTAAAAAGCAGAGGGCCATTGATTCTCATCCGTACCAATTGTTAATGTTTCGGCAAACTGGCTTAACTAAAATCACTTTTAACGAAAGCTATAACTAAAACTCAGACTCAGTGTCCAACACATCGCTCAATCCTCTATTCTCGAATACGAATGCAACAAGCATTATTAAAAGGCAACCGAAATAATTCTAAGTTCTAAAGAATTAACTGAGAAATTCAACAAATAATGTGGTTCTATACGAAACCTCTTGCTAATAGTTCGTTCCATTAAAACAATTTGAGTAAAACATCGTGAAAATTGATTAGATGGAAGAATTCAAGAGGTTTATGAGAAAGTTTATCAGTTTGACCACTAATAAATGAGATTTGTTGCAATGAAATTGCTTGTTGAGAACAACCCACTCAAGTACACATAATTTCAGATTACCATAGCAACACTGTGTCCTCGTTATTGATCACATCGTGCATACGTTCACCGAATTAACTGCCACTGCATATATACATGAATAAACAAACATTTCATTACTTTTCGATTATTTCTAGCAAAACGGGACGAACGGCAAATTTGAAAATGCTTTCAACGCCAGTATTGGAAAATAGTTGAGGAGATATGACGGCTTTATTAAAGCAATCTCAACTAGCGCAGTGATGCTCATTGATATGCATTTGATCACTATAGATCAATAGATATTACACATTACCATAGAAGTATAGGTTTGATACATTGAAGCCTACCGTCTTCTCAGGCATGCCCGCTTACAAAAAATAAAAACCTGGCCGAGAAAGACTTCTCCGACGAGGAGATACAGTTATTTTCCTCATGCTATAGGGGTTAGCTCATTCAAGTCTCCTGTACCCTCAGCTTTGACCAGTAACCTATCAATTTCTTCACGCCAGTCG